ATCCGCTTGCGCTTGCAAGAGGCCGGCTACGAGCCGCCGGCGCAGCCAGAGGGCGAGGGCTGCGCCGTGCGGTGGCTGTGCTTCTATGCCTTGCTGCGCGAGGCTAACCCGCCGGCGAGGCTGGCGGCGGGCGCACGGCACAGCGTTTTTATCGACGGCGAGGGGCGGCTCTCGTCGTGCGGCGCGGCAGCGGAGGGCGAGGAGGACGAGGAGCACGAAGAGGAGGACGAGGAGGAGGAGATTCCAGGCCTTCTCGGCCACGGCGAGGGCGTGTTGCAGCTTAAGACGCCGACCCGTCTCCCGCTCCTCGGAGGCGAACGCGCGATCGGTGTGGCGGCGTCATTTTACTTCAGCCTCGCTCTCTCCGCGAACGGCGCCCTTTGGTCCTGGGGCAGCGGCGGGGACGGCAAGCTGGGACACGGCGACGAGCAGCACCAGTGGCAGCCCAAGAAGATCGAGGCCTTTGTTGGCCAGCGTGTCATCGCTGTGTCGGCTGGACCCGTGCACAGTCTCGCCCTCACCGCTGACGGCAGCGTCTGGAGCTGGGGCTGGGGAGGCGAGGGCCGGTTGGGCCACGGTGACGAGGAGAACCAGCTGCTGCCCAAGAAGGTCGAGGCCTTTGCTGCACGGCGCGTCGTTGCTGTGTCGGCTGGACCGTTCCACAGCCTCGCCCTCGCCGCCGACGGTGCCGTCTGGAGCTGGGGCGCAGGAGCCTATGGCCAGCTGGGCCACGGCGACGAGCAGCAGGACCAGCTACTGCCCAAGAAGACCGAGGCCTTTGCTGGCCAGCGCGTCATCGCGGTGTCGGCGGGATACTTTCACAGCGTTGCCCTCACCGCCGACGGCGCCGTCTGGAGCTGGGGCAATGGAGGCCAAGGCCGGCTGGGCCACGGCGACGAGCAGCGCCAGCTGCTGCCCAAGAAGGTCGAGGCCTTTGCTGGGCGGCGCGTCGTCGCTGTGTCGGCTGGAGAGTACCACTGTCTCTCCATCACCGCCGACGGCAATGTCTTTACCTGGGGCAAGGGCGGCCACGGCTGCCTAGGCCACGGAGAGGACCTGTCGAACCAGCTGCTGCCCAAGAAGGTTGAGTAGAGGTGGGCGCACACACATGTACATACTAGAGCAGTCTGAGCTCTGACCTCGGCGCTCGGGGCTGTGTAGGATTACACACCGTCTATACGCACGGCTCTCCGCCGCCGGTTCGGGCCGCGCGCTACTGTATGCTCGAAAGCTCAGCAAAATGTACACAGAAGTGAGAATTAGAGAAAGTAGACAGCAGCCCTTGTCCCCGCACCCGCACTATGTAATAAGACAGTTTGCCGCGGCCCGCGAAGCGCGAACCTCTTGCGCGGCGGCGCACGCGCGCGCGCGCCCATCAGAGGTAGGAGAGGAGAGCGGGCACCGGCGGGAGCACGCCGGTGCGCCCGGCCGGCAACTCGCGCTCGCCCGCCGCGAGGGCCGAGTCGAGCGCCGACGCGAGCGCGTCTGCATCCTCGTCGGAGAAGCACATCGGCGGCTTGATCTTGAGGACGTTGCGGTGCGGCCCGTCGGTCGAGACGAGGACGCGCTCGGCGCGCATCCTGCCCATCGCGAAGGCGGCGAGCTCGGGGTCGGGCTCGCGCGTGCCGCGGTCCCTGACTAGCTCGACGCCGAGCAGCAGGCCACGCCCTCGCACGTCGCCGACCGCGCCGCGCGAGTCGCCGACTTCGCGGAGGCGCGAGAGGGTGTGCGCGC